GTCCACGATTGTCTGCGGACAAGCTGTCCTTCCCGTGCTGTTCCCTGCATCTTCCTTGGCTTCCCTTGACGCACCTGGTTGGTAGTTTTACCACCCCACCTTGGGCCGTGTTAGTCCTCTCATGACGTCACGTTGACGAGAGCGGTTCCTTACTACGTCTCTTCCCATACCGCACTGCGGGTGCTGGCCGTCTGGGGTGCTGCGCCACGGGATGCGGAGCCTGCGGGTGGAGAGCTTGGGGTTGCTGAGTTTGGGGGGTGGAGTCTGGGGGGGCGGAGCTGAGGGTGCTGAGCCTGCGCTGGTGGAGTCTGGGGGTGCGGAGCTTGTGGGTGCTGAGCCTGCGCGTGTGGAGTCTGGAGGTGCTGAGCCTAGAGGTCCTTGGGTGCTTCGTCCCGGCGGGAGCCACTCTCTCCACAGCAGCTGCGTAAGTGGTTTACTCGGCGCTGGAGCCGTGCAGCAGGAGCTGGTGGCGTGTGTACGGGCGCTGGAGGTCCTGCTGCTGCTGGAGCTGCTGGGGGTTCTGGAGCCACAGGTCCCGGACGTGCTCGTATGGAGGTACTGGAGCTGCTGGGCCTGTTGGTGTGTTGGAGCTAGAGCTGCAAGAGATGCTAGGACTTCTGGTGGTTCTAATGGAGCTGGAGCTGCTGGAGGTGCTGGAGCTGGAGGTGCTCCTGGAGTCAGTACTCTGTGGGTGCGGGAGTTGGCACTACTGGACCTGCTGGAGGTGCTGCTGGAGCTGGTGGTGCTGCTGGAGTTGGAGCTGACGTTGAGGGTGATAGTACTGTCCTTGCTGGTTCTAGAGGCGCTGCGCTGGCCGCGGCATTACTTTCTTTCCGCTCCTTGCTGATATCTCGTGTCCATGCTGATTGCACCTGAGGGAGACCCGGATGCACAGACATCTCGACCCGCGCTCTTACGCAGAGGCGATGATAAAGGGTCCCTTCTCCTCTCAGTGGCAGTCAGCCATGGACGCAGAGATGGCATACCTGGAAGTCCACAGGCACCTACGCGACAAGGTTCCCCCACTTGGGGCGAACATCGTCAGTGGCATGTGGATTTTCAGGGTGAAGCGGCCACCGGGTTCTCGCCTGTCTTCAAGGCGTGTTACGTTGCTCGAGGCTTCAGTCAGCGACAGGGAGTTGACTTCTTCCAGAACTTCTCCCCGACCCAAAGATGATCACTCTTCGGGTTCTGCTACACGTCGCTGCTCAGCGTGACTACGAGCTTCACTCTCTTGACTTCAGCACTGCTTTCCTACAGGGCAGATCTGGCTGCGCCGCCCACCTGGCTTCACTGGGTCGTTTCCTCCTAGTACCCGGTGGAGCCTCCAGTGGCCAGTCTACGGTCTCCGCCAGGCGCCCCGCGAGTGGCACGACACAAGGAGGACGACGCTTGCGGCTCTTGGGTTTGCTCCTTCCACTGCTGACCGGTCGCTATTTCTCCGCACCGACACTACTCTACCGCCGTTCTACATCCTCGTGTACGTCGACGACTTGGTCTTCCCCACTGCAGATACTGCTCGACTGGCCCACGTGAAGTCGAAGCTGCAGAAGAGACACACGTGCACAGACCTGGGTGAACTGCGCAGCTATCTTGGCTTGCAGGTCACCTAGGGCAGAGCACGGCGCACCATTACCTTGACTCAGTCACACATGGTGCAGCAGGTCCTTCAGCGCTTTGACTTCAGGACACTCCTCTATCAAAATGAGAAACAGGAATGGCTGTGACTAACAGGAACAACAGTACAAATATGAAACCCTAAACTGGTGTACCCCCTATGGTGTGACCCACTACAGCCTAGAACCACACAAACATATAATGTTTGACACACCCCCATAGGCAAAGTGGGGGAGACCTAGGGGTCACAAGACCAGTCAAGGCAAAGCAATGCAAACAAGCTCAGGTGGATCTCGAGGATTCCACACAAATTCCGAGCACAAGTAAGCGGTCACAAGACCAGTTCACATGCAGTTTTATAATAGAGCAAGAGGTACAATGATCACAACCTAGCAAGGGCAAACATGCAGGTATATATATAATGATCACAGTACAGGCAAAGTCAAGAAGTAAGCAAGTGAGGAACAGTCGGCACAAGACCTAGAAGAGTGCAAAAACGCTGATGGTCAAGAGGCGGAAGCGCCTTGGTGAAACATCAGCAGTGTTGGCCTCAGTGGCCACGTAACGCAGAAGAAGCTGACCACGCTGCTGTAGCTCTCGAGCTAGAAAGTAACGCAGAGCAATGTGCTTCGTCCTGTGCTCCAGCTCGTGCTCCTGACACAAGGCTAGGTTGCCTTCTTGTCGACGTACAGCACTCGAGGAGAACGAGGCTGCTCTCCAAGGTCAGTCAGCAGGTAGGTGAGCCAGCGAAGCTCCTGGGCAGCCATGGCCGTGGCGTAGATCTCAGCCTCACAGCTGGAGCTGAGAACAGAAGAAGAACGAGTAGAACGCCAAGAGACAGAGCCAGAGCCAAGACTGAAGGTGTAACCCGAGACGACCGCTGAGTAGCCTGGTCGTCTGCCCAAGAAGCGTCTGAGTGCCCAGTGAGAACAGGCCGGTCTCGCCCTCCAAGCACTAGCCCCATGCCCGACGTACTGCACAAGTAGCGCAACACCCTCTTAGCTGCATCCATGTGCTCCTTCCGGTGACGGCCGGGAGCGACATAGCGTGCTAAGATGCTGAGAGGGTATGCAAGGTCAGGTCGAGTGCAGGTCATCAGGTACATGAGGCAGCCCACAAGCTCTGGATACGGACCACTCGGCTCTACGGACTCATCCGAAGGCAGAGCTGAGAGCGAGTGTCCCGTAGGCAGAGGAGTGGACTGAGGCAGGGAGTACGTGAAGCCGAAGCGCTGAAGGACCTGCTGCACCATGTGTGACTGAGTCAAGGTGATGGTGCGCCGTGCTCTGTCCGGGTGATCCGCAAGCCAAGATAGCTTGTCAGTTCACCCAGGTCTGTGCACGTGTGTCTCTTCTGCAGCTCCGACTTCAAGTGAGCGAGACCAGCTGTGTCAGAAGTGGCAAAGACCAAGTCGTCGACGTACACGAGGATGTAGAACGGCGGCAGTGAGGTGTCGGTGCGTAGAAACAGCGACGGGTCAGCAGTAGAAGGAGCGAACCCAAGAGCGCAAGTGTAGTCCTCAGTGTGTCGTGCCACTCACGTGGCGCCTGGCGGAGACCGTAGACTGGCCGCCGGAGGCTCCACTGGGTACCAGGAGGGAACGACCCAGTGGAAGCCAGGTGGGCGGCGCAGCCAGATCTCCTCGTGCAGGCTGCCCTGCAAGAAAGCTGTGCTGAAGTCAAGAGAGTGGAGCTCGTAGTCACGCTGAGCGGCGACGGTGTAGCAGAACCCGAAGAGTGGTCATCTTCGGGGTCGGGGAGAGAAGGTCTGGAAGAAGTCAACTCCCTCTCGCTGACTGAAGCCTCGTGCAACGTAACGCGCCTTGAAGACAGGTGGAGAGACCGGTGGCCGCTTCACCCTGAAAAATCCACATGCCACTGACGATGTTCGCCCCAGGTGGGGGAACCTCGTCGACGTAGGTGCCAGTGGACTTCCAGGAAGCCATCTCTGTCTCCATGGCTGACTGCCACTGAGAGGAGTAGGGACCGGCCATCGCCTCTGCGTAAGAGCGTGGGGTCGGGATGTCTGGTGCATCCGGGTCTCCCTCAGGGGCAACAAGCATGGACACGAGATGGGGCAAAGCAGCGGCAAGGCAAACCAAAATCCTCCTGCCTGTCCTCAGAACGTCCGTGCCAAGAGCACACTCACCCCCAACGGACGGAGGACAGACAGGACTCAGACTCAGCAACAAGACTCGCAGCGTAGTCTAGACGACACGCAGCTGCAAAGTCGACAAGCTCAGTGACTAAGGCAGACGAAGCAGCGGACTCAAAGGAAGGGTCAGTGACAACCGTAGCCAGGAGACGTGTGATAGTAGGACTGGCAGCGCGAAGCGGGTCTGACTAGGGTCAGCAAGAGCAGGAAAGAGAGGGAAGGAGAGGGACGCAGGAGGCGACGGGGAGAGCGACACGCTGCGGAGCAGTGGACTGACGAACGCGAGCCACATCTGGTGAGTGCCTGGGACAGCAGGAGGACGCTGACGCTGGACACGACTACCAGTGGTAGCAGCACGAACAGGCGACGCTCGACGAGACGCAGGTGACACAGGACGTGACGCAGGCTCACGTCTCTCAGCAAGACCTCCAGTCGGACCAGTGTAAGGAGCAGGCACAAGAGTGGGGAGGCAGGCGGTAACTGTGGCTGTGACTGGACAGACGGCGGACACTCTAAGGCGAGAGGAGAACAAGGAGGAGGAGGCTGACCAAGAAACCTGCTGAAGGAGCAGAACGAAGTACGGCCGTGGCCGTGCAGCAACTCTCGACCCAGCAGAGACACCAGCGGCAGGGGTCCTCAGGACCAGCAGAAGCTCCACTCGCCGGGTCCCTCCACTCCAGCAGCAGTAGCAGCACCTCCAGCAGCACCAGCAGCACCTCCAGCACCAGGGTCCGCAGCACCCGCAGTAGCTCCAACACCCGGGTCCTCAGTACGAGCAGCACCTCAGCAGCACAAAGTAGTAGCAGCAGCACCTCCAGCTCAGGGTCCAGCAGCACCCGCAGCAGCGTCAACTCCGGGGACACCCCAGCACCAGCAGTCCACTCCGGAGACTGATGTGCGAGCGTACCACTCTCGAAGCTGTGGGGAAGAGGGCGGCTCCCGCCGTGGTGGGGAAAACACGAGTACCAACTCCAGTAGCACCACTAGTCCGAGACCAGACGCACCCCGCCGGAGGCGCAGTACCGTGAGTAACACTCACGTAGCTGCTGCGAAGAGGGAGGTCCTCCAGGCGTCTCACAGTCAACTGCAACACCACCAGGCTCAGCACCCCCAGACTCAGCACAACTCCAGGCGCAGCACCCCAGACCCAGCACCCCCAGGCTCAGCACCCCCAGTTCAGCACCCCCAGGCTCAGCACCCCAGTCTCAGCACCCCCAGACTCAGCACCCCTAGGCTCCGCCCGCGCAGGCTCCGCTACGCTCAGGCTCCGCACGCTCAGGCTCAGCACCTCTAGCAGGACGCGAGTCGACCGCTACCTCGGCAGGCTCAACCGGGTCTACCTGAGAGACACCTGAGGGAGCGGCACCCTGAGGAGAAGGGGGTCTACCACTGCAAGCACCTGGCGCGAGGAAGAGAGGCAGGGGAGAGAGCGGGGCAGTGCGGTAGGGGAAGAGGCGGGTAGAAGGGCACGGACTCGTCAAAAGTGACGTCTGAGAGGGGAAGACGCGGTGCGAGGCGGGGTGGTAAAACTGCCAGCCAGACGCATCCGGGACAAAGCAAAGAAAGACACAGGGAGCAGTGCGGGAGGAGAGCTTGTCCGCAGACGTGTCGCGAACAAAAGCTCGGGATCCCCAGACACGGAAGCGGACGCATCGCCAACCTCCCCCGTCCACAGCAGTGTGGGCGAGGTCTCCGGAGCGGAGAGGGACACGGGGCCAGAGGTTGAGCTGATGCGCAGCGTACCGGACCGCCGCAAACGGCCACAGAAAGTGGGGGGCAGCCGCGTGGACTAAGGAGGTACGAGCGACCTCCATGACCAAGCCAATGCGGCGCTCAGCAAACCCATTCTACTGTGGAGAGGACGGAAGCTGTGAACGACTGGCGAATGCCGTGCTCTGCACAGTAGGCTGCCAAAGAGGTCAGAGGAGGAATTCCCACCTCTGTCAGAGTGCAAGCGCAGGACAGGAAACTCGAGCGAAAACGCTCTCGCAGCTGAAGAAGTGCTCTGCTGATCCAAGGGATCAGAACATCAAGGACTTCACCTTGGTGCGCAAGGGGAAGGACCGTGGTGTGTAGCGCGAGTAGTCGTCAACGACGATCAAGAAGTACCTCTCCTGGCCCTGACCACGGACGCGGGCTGGGCCCACACGTCCATGTGGAGCGTCTGCAAAGGAGCAGTCGTCGGTGGGAACGAGGAGGAGTGAGGGGCAGCGCGCTGCCGCCCCTCGACACAGGAAGACAAGGAGGAGCAAGGGAGGGTGGGAGGGGAGGGAGTACCCGAGGAAGACCAGAGACAAGTACCGGGAGTGCATGCCCGGAGGCGCTGCACTGACGGGGGACCAAGGTCGGTGGTGCCAGAGGACAGTCTTGTGCGCTAGAGAGCGATACGAGCAAGGGGCAGACAGCTGACCTGACGCAGACGCAGACGCAGACGCCGCTACCTGAGGGGACTCAGTGGTCAGTGTGTACAGGTCCGACCCGGCTGCCGAGTGAAGGTAGCCAGGGGTGACGGCCCGTCCGAGCACACGTGCAGTTGTGTCACACGCTCGTAGGCAGGGTGAAATGGTGAACACCCCCATCCTGAAGCGCAACTACCGCCAAGTTTGTAGAGAACGAGGGGAGGTGGAGACCTGACAGTGTGCCCGACGGGACGGAGGACAAGGAAGGACAAGTGGAGGAAGGTCGCAATGAACCGGACCCCCAGAGGGGTCAGCGACGCGAGACAGCGACTGGTCGAGCAAGGGGCTCAAGAGCAGTGCGCTCACGGAAAGAAACAGCGCGAAGCGCCTGAGTCTAGAGTGAAGGTGTGCATTGCCTCAGTGGACTCAGTAGTACCTGGGGGTGGCGGACACACAAGCACCTAGAGCAGTAGCCTCACTAGCAACTGGGGCAGCAGACACGCAAGCACCTAGGGCTGCAGCCTCACAAGTGCGGATGCCTGGGTCAGGCGGAACACACAAGTACTGGTCCTCCTCTCCACTAATAGTCAAGCATACATGGCTTTGAGAATAACATCAAAATCAAGAGCATAGATATCGATATCCTCTTGAGGAGATCAGCCCACTGAGGGAGCTCAGGAGCGTCAGGAAACTGAGCACGCCACGCGTCATCTAGGCGAGAGAAGCAGCGCTGGCAAGTGTGCGCCCTCCGCACGTTGTCCCTTGCGGCGACCAGTGCGGATGACGTACGTGCAGCTAAGGCTACCCCCCCCACCCCGTGCTGTAAGTACCACTCACGAAGCTCCTGGGAGGACTGAGGGGTGCTGCGCGCTCTGGCCAGTGCCAGAGCATCCACGACCACCACCACCGCCTCCACCACGACCACCACCGCCTCTGCCGCCTCCACGTCCACTGCCGCCACCACCACCGCCCCCACCCCGGCCACTTCCGCCGCGCTGCTCCACCACCCCCACCACTGCCACTAGCCCCTCCAGCCCCGCCACCCCCCCACCGCCGCCACCACCCCCACCACCGCCTCCCCCGCCGTCACCCCCACCGCCCTTGCCTCCCCTGCCCTTGCCGCTGCGGCGCCCGCTGGGAGCGGACGCAGAGCCGACCTGCTCAGCACCAAGGAGGTCGACAGCAGCAGCAGAGGCGGACAGAGGGGAGCAGGGGGGAGGGGGAACACCCCCTCGAAAGAAAGGGGTGCGGGGGTCGCCACGAGAGGCACCATACAGCTACAATACTCTTCTCAGCTCCAAGTAGTTCCTTCTCTAGGGCGGTAATGGTGAGCTCAGTGGGGCAGCGAGCTAGGAAGTGGTCCCTGAATGTACGCAGAGTGTCAGGGAGGCGGGTGACTAGGTGGTAGAGAGTGAGCCAGAGCGGGGGAGGGTTGGAGGCAAGAAACTCAGCGGGGCATGGCTGCACGGAAGCGGGCATCACTAGTGCGGAGGTGAGTGATGAGGTCAGCGACTGTCTGGAAGGCGGAGAGGTCGTCGGGGAACAGGTAGGGAAAGCGAGAGGCGGCCTAGTGCAGCTGAGGCCGGGGAGGAGTAAGCGCGCAACTACAGCAGTGTAAAGGGCGTGCGCAGTCTGATGCTGGCTAAAGTGCTCGCGCTCGTCTACTGGCAGGGAGTTGCGAATAGCAAAGCGGGCTGTGGGCATCGCGAGTCTGCCATCTTGAGCGAGCAGTAGCAGCAGCAGTAGTAGCAGGAGAGTAGGGACTGTGCCTAGTGCGTGATCGTACAGCGAGATATCCTCTCTGGCAGTGAGTGGGAGGAACAGATGCAGATCATCGAGCCAGGTCTCAAACTTAATCGGGCGGCCCTCAGTATCGAACAGAGAACTGGAGGGCTAGCCATAGCTGAAGTAGCAGTAGCAGAAGTGACAGTAGCAGTAGTAGCAGCAAGCATAGTAGAGCAGTAGCAGCAAAGCAGTAGCAAGTAAGCAGTAGCAGTAGCAGTAGTAGCAGTTCAGTACTGGTGCCGCTGCTTAGGTAAGGAGGGCGCGGCTCAGCTAGGACGGCGCGGCTCGGCTAGGGCGGCGCGGCTCGGCTAGGGCGGCGCGGCTCGGCTAGGGCGGCGCGGTTCGGGTCGGGTCGCGCAGCGCGGCTCGGCCGTAGAGGGGCGAGCGCGGGAGGGGCCGTGAGAGGCAAGCGTGGGGGGCCGTTCGGGGGCCGGTCGGGGCTAGCGCGAGGCCATTCGGGGCCGTAGGAGGCTAGCGCGGGGCCTTAAGGGGCCGTGGGAGGCTAGCGCGGGGCCTGAAGGGGCCGTGGGAGGCTAGCGCGGGCCCTGACGGGGCCGTGGGAGGCTAGCGCGGGGCCTGAAGGGGCCGTGGGAGGCTAGCGCGGGGCCTTACGGGGCCGTGGGAGGTTAGCGCGGGGGCCACACGGGGCCGTTCGAGTAGCTAGCGCGGGGCAACACGGGGCCGTTCGAGGCTAGCGCGGGGCCAATCGGGGCGTAGGAGGCTAGCGCGGGGCCGTAGGTGGGCCGTTCGGGGCTAGCGCGGGGCCGTAGGGGGCCGTGAGAGGCTAGCGCGGGGCCGACACGGGGCCTTAAGGGGCTAGCGCGGGGTCTTAAGACGGGGCCGTGAGAGGGTAAGGGGCGACGCGAGGGGGCCGTGAGGGGCCTGAAGGGGCGACGCTAGGAACGAGGCGCACGAGGGCGCTAGGAAAAGGCGGCGCACTGAGGGCGCGGCTAGCGGAGAAACGGTGGGCCCTAACGTTCCCGGTCCTAGGTGGAACCTAGGCTCTGATACCCTGTCAAAATGAGAAACAGGAATGGCTGTGACTAACAGGAACAACAGTACAAATATGAAACCCTAAACTGGTGTACCCCCTATGGTGTGACCCACTACAGCCTAGAACCACACAAACATATAATGTTTGACATCCTCTGTCTACTCGCCATCGCTCTCAGCTTTGCCTTCAGATGAGTCCGTAGAGCAGAGTGGCCCGTACCTAGAGCTTGTTGGCTGCCTCATGTACCTGATGGCCTGCACTCGACCTGACTTGGCATACCCTCTTAGCATCTTGGCACGCTATGTTGCGCCGGGAGACACCGACCAGAGCACATGGCTGCAGCGAAGAGTGTCAGAACATATCTATAGCTTATATGCTGTGTAGGCTGTAGTGGGGTATCCCATAGGGGGTACAC